TAATAATAAATTAGTGTTGAATATAAATTATTTATTTGATTTGCAGTCGGTATGAACTGCTTTTCTAAACTAAGTATACATTTTAAATTATTCTCATTTATTTTTGTACTGTAAAAATTTTTTTAGCAACAATTATGCCTAGAGAATTAGATCAAGTCTGGAATGGTCACTTTAAAAAAAAAATATGTCAATATGGGAAAACAGCATTTATTTTATAATGCAAAATTTTGCACACAAAACTCTACACGAGCTAAAAAATATTTAGTTACAGATTGTACTAAATCTCCAAAAGCTGTAAAAAAAAAGTTTGCAACAGATGTTATGAAACAAAGTTTTGCTCCTAAAACAAAAATCGGAATATTATTAGTTAAATCTTTAATTGAACTCAACACAAATACAACAAATAATGCAGGTATGTCAGATTTAATAATGGAAAATGATTGTTTTATTGATTGCTGTGACAACAATTATGCCATCTTTAAGAGAAAGTCAGGACCCAGTTCCACAATGAATGTGGCTAATAACGAATTACATTCTGATTTACAAGAATGTTCTTTATCAAATATTTTAGAAGAAAAAAAGGCTTTCTGTTCAACTTCTATATATACTAGCAATCAAAAATCAATATCATATTTTTTTGATAAAGTTTCAACACAAGAGTGTGATGAAATAAATATACAATATGCAAGAGCAATTTATGCAACAGCCAGCCCCTTCAGAATGTCGGAAAATCCATTCTGGACTAATTTTTTTAAAAAGATTCGACCAGGTTGGTCACCTCCCAATCGTTATGCCCTGAGTCATAATCTTTTAGACACAGTATATAACCAAGTAAATAAATTCATACAAGATTTAATATCCCAGTCAGAAACTTTTGTTCTGATGACAGATGGTTGGTCTTGTATAAGTAATGATTCACATATACAGATTATGTTAGCTACTCCAACTCCAATATACATCAGAAGTATTCATCCAAAAGAAAACCCCCACACTGGACAATACATA